AAATTATATAAAGTATTAATCCAATTTTGCTTTTACAAGCTTGGGGAGATTATGCTACACATTCATGGACAGTGTACTGTTAGGATACAAGTGTGGGGACCATGTACTGTACTTTACATCACATCCTATATTGAGGCATGAAGAAATGAGATCAAAACTTGTGACCAGATCTGGATGACATGGTTGGGAAGGTCACAAATATTGGTAAATGAGTTTTGGAGGAGGGAAAGACTTGTTTGCTTATTGAATCCTATTTATTTGAACAAGAGAGAGAGATATTATACAAGCTCATCAATATGAACAATAACACTCAGCAAGTTCAGCTGAGATATAAAAGTCCTTCTCTAGGCATTCAAGACATCCCAGAAACAGAGTTTCATTGTCAGTGGAAGGCTAGTCCAATGCTAGCATAGTTGGGATCCTGTCAGAGTTTTTTGATGGAGAGAGACACACAATTCAAAACAGCAGTCTTCAAACATAATGGTTAGCATAATCCCATGCAGAATAGCACTGAGTAAAGAAAATGGACAGGAATTGGTTCTGCATCCTTGGAAATGTGATTTTATAGATTAGGTCCTTTGAATATCATAAACTCTCTACAGATTGGAGTTTCTGTACATTATACACTTACACAAGGGTTCTCAAGTGTATAATTGGTCTATTTTGATCTACCATCCCAATTTGTTTCAAGCCCTCGTGTTCATAATTTGATTGGCTTCATACCTGTCTTCAGTGAAACTGGAGCTCAAATTGGGCCATGGAAAAAAGTCAGATTTAATCATTGAAGGTTAAATCTAAATCTGCTTTTGATCTCAATCACAGATGTTTATTGATCTTAGGACCCTCATTGTTTAAAACAGTTTGGTATTTATTTATTCTTGACAGTTATTATTCCAAAGTGCCAGTCATTCAAAATTCTGATGGCAAACAAATTAGTAAAAGGAATTAAAGGAATTATTTTTATCATTAAACTTTTTTGTTTTGAGGAGATGTTTTTGGTGAGGGTTCAGACCAGTGTTGCCGCCTTTTCAGAATTGCTGACCTGGACATTTTAAAATATCCTAATAGAATGGTTTACTTAGAAATAAAATAATTAGGTTTTTTTTATTGTGAGTAGAAAATAAACATTTTTTATTAGAAGGTAAACATGTACTGTACATAATAATCTTGAGGTTTTCAATTTCTTGAGTTGTCATATTAAATAATTAAAATAGAAATTATAAACTTGTAAACTGAAACTGTCACATTCACTTTACAATAGGTTTGTTCCAACACAAGTCCCTGACTGCTTTGAATTTGAAACCGTACAAGGCATGTGCAATGTCATTTTACAGCCAAGAACTGAACAATGCGCAATTGCGCATGCCTGTTTAAAATCAGAGAAGTACTCGTTAAGCAAGTTGAACCAAGTTGAACCTTGCTTAACGAGTACTTCTCTTAACGAGCAAACAAATTGTAAAAAATTACTCACTTAATGAGCGATGTTTCACATAACAAGTGATGAGGAGAGGGAAAGTCCCAAATTGTGCGCATGTTACATCAGTCTGTGTTTAGCACTTGTTCCGCTAGCATCTTAGTGTCGCTTGTGATCACACATTTTTCCAAACTTGTGTTCAGACATATTACATATAAACATCAACAATCATAATCCATTATATAATATACATACCAAATTCTTAGGCTATGTAAAAGCTATAATTAAAGATTAGAAATTGATTAATTTGACTAGAGGTAGACAATTATGCTGCCATCTTGTATCCAAATTAAATTTTAGAAATGTTTAAATTAAAAATTAATTATTTATAATTATTAAATTTAATACGAGATGGAAGCATAATTGTCTACCTCTAGTCAAATGAATCAATTTCTAATCTTTAATTATAGCCTTTATATAGCCCAAAAATTTGGCTTATTATTTGATTGAGACATTTTTTCTATTTTTTTGTTTTCTGCAAATTGAATTTGCATTTCAGGGGTTGGTTCATTCCAAGCTAGAAGAAAAGATAAAGATGATTCACGCTCCTTAACAATGTATATCGTATAATTTTCTTTGAATAAACGTTATACATAAAATATTTGAGTATTTTTTCTTTCAGCATGGAACACATTATCGTATTTTACATTAATTTATATGGGAAAAATTGTTTCACTTAACAAGTGTTTCGCATTATGAGTAAGATTCTGGAACGAATTATGCTCATTAAATGAGGTTCCACTGTATTTGCCAGAGATATTTGCAAGTTAGTACTTTAAAAATACATTTTCTGTCACTGTTAGCCTAGGGATAAGATGGGGATAAGTTTGGGTGGGGGTGTGAAGTTAGTCTTTAACCATTAAAATAAAATACTCGCAAATATTTTTATAAATTTATCTTTTTTCACTGTAATTTCACAATTTCTATGAAAACCAGACAAATTAATAATTAATCCAGACAATGAATTTAAAAACCAGCCTATCCGGGTGAAAACCGGCTTGGTGGCAACACTAGTTCAAACCATGTAAGGTCACATGAGTTAAACCCGTAGCAATTCCTGTGGAATTTTTGGTTCTGTAACAAACTAGTTATGATCTAATACTGGGTTAGGATTTGTTAGAAAGAACTGTTGTTCTCATTATGGAAAGTAATTCATTCAATTGGAGGCTGAAGAATCACTTTTATTACTGAGTGTGTCTGCAGTGACTGTGGGTCCGCTAAAACATAGGTGGCCAGTGCAGTGCAAAGTTGCTCCTTTCTTATATTTCCTTGGTGTTCTACTAACCTGGCTTTGATAGATCTTCCTGTGGCTCCTATGTACATTAATTTATTATGTCGCCATGAATCCATAACAGGGATTTTATAGACACTGGGAAGTGTGTTTCTGTCTGCTTCATTCTTATTGGATCTTAATAGTTGGTATGTGGTGGGGGTTCTTTTAAACATGATTCTTTTGTTGGCTTTTCCAATGCGTCGAAAGATATTGCTCAGAGATGTGTTATAATCCATCGTTATAAACCCTTCTTTATTGGGTAACTTTTTCTTCTTATGGCACATCTTGCTCTTGCTGGTAATAGCATTAATATTGATCTTGTATTTCTTGGCTAAGTTGTATATATATTTCAGTTCATCCATTCTATCCTTTGCATTGTTACAATGCAAATAAGCTCTTGTGATAACCTCTCGGAACGCTACCAGCTTATATGATGGAGGATCATGCGAGATCCAAGGAATAAATACAGGGTTATATGTGGGCTTTCTGTAGACTTTAGTACTGAATTGTCCTAGGCGGTTAATTTGTATATAAAGATCCAAAAAGTGTATGATCTTATCATTTTCCTGCTCTAGCTCTATCTCTAAACCGAATCTGTTGTCATTTATATCATTTATAAAACGCGGTATGTTGGGTTTAATGTTTCAGAATATAAGTACATTGTCTACGTATCGAGCATACATTATCAAATTAACCACCTAGGACAATTCAGTACTAAAGTCTACAGAAAGCCCACATATAACCTCATATTTATTCCTTGGATCTCGCACAATCCTCCATCATATAAGCTGGCAGCATTCCGTGCGCTTATCACAAGAGTTTATTCGCATTGTAACAATACAAAGGATAGAATGGATGAACTGAAATATATATATAACTTAGCCAAGAAATACAGGATCAATATTAATGCTATTACCAGCAAAAGCAAGATGTGCCATAAGAAGAAAAACTTACCCAATAAAAAAGAGTTTATAATGATGGATTATAATGCATCTCTGAGCAATATCTTTCGATGCATCGGAAAAGCCAAGAACAAAAGAATCATATTTAAAAAAACCCCCACCACATACCAACTATTAAAATCCAATAAGGATGAAGCAGACAGAAACACACTTCCCAGTGTCTATAAAATCCCCATTATGGATTCATGGCGACATAACAAATTAATGTATATAAGAGCCACAGGAAGATCTATCAAAGCCAGGTTAGCAGAACACCAAGGAAATATAAGAAAGGAGCAACTGTGCACTGTGCTGGCCACCTATGTTTTAGCAGACCCACAAGACATCAAAGCCAAATGGGACCAAGCAGTGACTGTGTTAATTGATGCTTGATTTCCCATGTTTATTGCCACTACCATTCCTGTCATTCTTGATATACATCATTCTGTTTCCAGAATAGTCAATCAATGATCAACCATCTTTTAATTTTGGAATGAGGATTAATTTTACCTTCCTGTACCTTCAAATATCACACAACAACAATAATCTCAAAGTTTGAGTAACCAATAGCAACCCAACATCACACTAGAACCTGTTAGGGGAATGGGAAACAGAACACTAAATTGTCACCTGTTTGAATGGGAACTAGCAGATGACGTTAGAGGAAGATATGAACAAGAAATGACAGATGCTAAAGTCACTATTTAATGAGGCTATAAAACAGTTGGATGAACTACTGGTCCTATTGTTGAATTATAAGGAATATTTTACACCTAATTTGAATTAATTTAAGTCAAAAGAAAGAGGTGTACACCACAAAAATCAGAAAATGAAGGCAAGGTGATAAAACAGATGTTATTAAACTACTTTCAAAGACATATATAGCTAATTCTCATTTATGTACTTTCAGTTAAATCAATTTAGCTTTGTCAGGATTGAATGAAATGGACAGAACATTAATTTTAAATTTATAAATTGGACAAAGTTCTTTACATCAGAGGTGACAGTTGTGAAGAGAATGTAAATAAGCGATAAAGATAATTACACTTGTTATCTTGTGCTTTTTTAAATTAAAATATGCATTCATTAAGTAAAAAATAATAGAATGGTAAAATGATATTATAAATATGTAAAATAATGTTAAAGAATGAAATAATTTTATCAATTTTTTATATTAATATAATATTTCAATTATTCCTAATGTATTGGACCATTATTCCTATTCCTAATGTATTTTTTAATCATTAATCTATATTCTTTGTCATTTTATTTGTGAACATGTAAAAATAATCTGAGTTTTATTGATTATTAGATGCTAGTATGAAACAGTATTCAGATAAAATTCAAACACTGAGCTTAATTAATGGAGTAAAAATAGATTCACCTGTTGTGTTACATAGGTATGTTCACTATTATTTCAAATAAATTTTTAATTATTATTGTAATTGATTATAAATGCTATCTTATTTTTTGACAAATGTATTTTAGCCGTCGACCGGAATTGGGACGAAGAGCTAGTCTACCTTCACTACGACGCTATCGCAATGAAAACATAAGTTCTGCTACCTATTCTGATAGTCATGATGACGGATGGTCGACAGACGAAATGTCACAGACAGAAGATGAAGATGATGACAGTGATATTTTTGCATATACCACAGAAGTTAGTTTGTAAAATATATTGAATTTTATATGTAAAAAGTTTTTATTTGAATATAATTTTATAAATATTAATTAAGGTGGGGGGACGCTATGTTGCTTTGGGTGATTATGAAGCAGTTGATGTTGGAGAAGCCACTCTAAAAGAGGGAGAAGTGATTCAAGTAGAAAAAGTTGGATGCGCTGGATGGTGGTATGTTCGTGTTACAGGAACAGGAAACAGAGGATGGGTTCCAGCCTCCTATTTGGGACCATTAAATGGAAGAGGCCCATCTTCACCATCATTAAGTAGTCAAGGTAATTTTATTACTTTTTTATAGATAAATGTTTCTTAGCTTAAACTCATAATTTTTACATCAAATATATTTTTTTAATATATTATCTTTGGGAAGCTAAATGCTATAAATTATTAACTTTCTCTAGAAAAGCTTTTTTTTTAAAGTTCGTAAATTTCTAATTTATCAGTCTTAAAAAAAGTTATAATGAATATTTAATGCTATGTTGATATTGAATTTAATTTAATACTAAAGTAAAAAATTTGTGAAAGCTGGAATTGCAAAGGGACTCTCTAGATTTTCTGCCTTAGACAGGCAGGAACAAAAAAGTGATCATTATTTCAAAATCTGAAGGTACTTTTTTACCAGTTTTCAGTCTAGACATACCAGATTTGGTCTAGAGTATCAAGTGATTGTAATTAAGGTACTTCTATTCAATGCTGTCTGGAGAGAGATAGAGATTTAGTAATCCAAATGCAACCAAATCTGGTATGGTAATGTTTCAGGACATGTAGAAGATATTTGGTAAAAAAAATTATCATCAAAACTTCTTAGGACACTTTTGGCACTACAAACAACAGACATTTTATTATACAGGAGTCATGCAATACAGAGACTAGCAATGCAAGAAATACTACTCAATGTAGTCCCCAATCTTAAGGTGTAAAACCTGAAGCCAAAGAACAGTGTGTTCAATGTCCAACCATAATTGAGTTTAGGTGATGCTTCTCACATGAAGTGTGATACTGTCTTTCAAGGCTGCCAACTTTGCAATATGTACTTAATAAACCACATTTTTTAAGTGTTCCACAACCAGAAATCATACAGATTAAGATTTGAAGAATAAATAGTTAGGTGGTAGGAAACTGACAACCAATCACTCTGTTATTGGTGAAATGTTGTTGTACGTGCAACATTCAATATGTGTAGGTTCCATCTTGTGTGAAAGTATTTAACTCAAGGAATTATTGCTGTTACTGTTGAAGTATGACAAAAGTATTGAGCATCTCTCAGTATTTCTGGGTTGTCATAGATCACATCAGACTCATTGGGGACTAGCTTCTTCAAAGAATAATGGTCCAAGGATAAATGTGCCTGTGAATCCAAACCGAATCATAAATTTAGATGCGTGCAATGGAATTTACAAGAAAACATAAGTGTTTTCTGTGGCCTGATGTGACAGTTCAGATGTTCACTGTTCCACTCTGGTGAAAATTTGCCTCATTGCTCCAATAGGTCTTCCACAACACACCCATTTCCAATCTGGCAAGGAAGGTCAACGCAAAGGTCAGTCAAAATTTCCTGATGGGAACAAGTAAGTGTTCATTGTGGCTGATCTTACATGTATAATAATGCACCAACCTTCTCAGTACCTTTTGCACTATGCCATTGTATACACCCAAATGCCATGACACTACATGCACTACTGGATTCTGAAGCATTATTCATTGACAGCTCAACAACATTTATAGTAACATCTTTAATAGCTTGTGAAATGACAGGTTTGTGCACTTAACCAGACTGAATTCTCAGATGTCCAGTTTCCTCAAATAAAATGATCATGAGAGAGAAATTCCGAGAGCTTGTGGAGTCAATGGTCCTTGGCAGAAATTCTTACAATAGTGAAATTCTTGAAGTATAGCTGCAACATTGCCATTGTTTGCATAAAACATCTTTACAGGAAATGCATGTTCCAGCAAGGTGATGACATCATAGCTGATAAGAATGACATTCAACAGTTCTGGCCACTTTTATACCCAAAATTTTGTTGCAACATGCAAAAGAAACTGCTTTTTCATTGCTTGCAGCTTCAAAGTACTATAGTAGTCAAAAGTGCCATAGTAGTGAATTTTAGTACTAATTTTTTTATGGAAGTGTCTTCCACATGTCCTGGAATGTTAGTATACCAGATTTGGTTTCATTTGGACTGCTAAATACCATTTCTAGATAGTGTTGAATGACAAGTAATTTGATCTTACACAAATCAGCATGAGGTCCAAATATTAACATAAGATAATATAATATTATCTTACAGAAGTAAAACAAAATGTTACAAACTGTATTAATATGAAAAGTGCCATTTGGTATTATTCTTTAACAATAAGGACATATCAACATATAATCAATGCTAATAATACTTATATATCATTTTGGAATATTTTTAATATCAAAGTACTTCCAATAAAAGTGATATTGAAGCATAATCCAAGTTTTTGTTTATTTCCGGCTAGATTCAGCAACTGGTGTGGTATATCCCATTGCAAGCATTGCGAGCAGTATATCCTGCCACGATGGAACTACTGCATAACACTTACCTTCCATCATGATGCCATTGCCATTTAAACTGCCTTGGTGAATTAATTCAACAAGGAAATGAAGCCTTAGAAATTCTAGTCAAAGTGGGTTGATTAAACTATTCAACACTCAGCTCAGAAAATAAAATTTAGAACAAATTTTAAAGCTGTAAAAAAAAAATACTGAAACTAAAATGTTTTTGAGTAATTTCTTCAATTTTTATTCTTGTTTTAATTCTTTAGAAACTATTGATGTGATTTTGTTAAAATTCTGTTTTTTTTTATAAAACAAAATTTCATAAGATTTTTATATGGGCAAAAAATTTTAATAAATCCATGAACTTAATTGTTAATACCAATATTTGACATCGATACATTCATAATGTACTTCATTGCATTCTATTTTAGTTACAATGGCAACAAATTATTTGTTAACTTAATTTAGGATAATATATTATTACGATACTATGCAGATTATTAAAATGTAACAGAAACTACGAAAGATTTAACATCAATATTGCTTAGAATCATTGAAATCTTTTCAATTTAATAGCAAAGTGCAGTTCTAGTTGCAAAACAAACACAATAATGACCAAATTACTGTTATTTGAAATTACCAATGATTAATATTTTGTCCTTGATATTCCTCTATTGTATTTTAATGGAAGTTTTACTCATCTTGACTCTCCCATTTTGTGAAATCTAGTACCTATAAAGTATATTATATATGTTGTAATACTGTTGTTTCCCATAGTTGTCATCTATTTTTAATTTTGACATTGAATTTTCATGGAATTTTTTTATTACCATTACTCCCAGTGTGGCCTTTGCTTCATGTATATATAGTTATCCTAGCATTCATGTTGTATCGCATTAACAGTTATTTAAGCAAAATCAGTCTTGAGATTAATAGTTACCATTTGGCCCTTCATTAGCTAGGCTTTTTCTCGTAGAAACGTCAGAACGAATAACTGAGCTTTTGCAGTTTTTAAGATTTTACAATTTCATCTACTATACAACAGTTTTAAAAACTTCCAGTTTTTTTGTAAAACTTATATCCAGATTAATTTTGAGAGTTTTAGAAAGTTAAAATATAGAAATTTTGCCTTTCCACAATTTAATGGCATTCTTAATGTCAAGAAAATATCTCACGTTAGCGATAGTTTAATGGCATTATACTCAAACTCATGAACACATAATGGCACTTATGCTTTGATTACAGTATGTAGTTTCATCATCAATTAGCAAATTGCATAATACTAAATATTCAAAAAATGGAAAGGATTTAGCACTTTTGTTTCTTGGCACTTATATGATTTGACTAGTTTTAAAAATTGTCAAATAGAAATTCCTATCATAGAAGCATAGATCATTTGTCAAAATTTAATATCTTTTATGATATTGTGAAAATCATACAAGTAAAACATCTGCATTTAACCCTGCTAAACACAGCTACCATTAGGTTTGATAACATAGATGTATTCCAGACTTCAAAGTAATTCAACTGTTACATATTCATGCCAAGTGGGTATTTATATTTAAAATATGCACGACTAATTCCTTTTTCTATTCCACACTTTTTTATGGTAGACAAAATAATTTCATAAAAATTTTTACAATCGATGACTGCCATGTTAAGAATATGAGAGATTTGTGTGGCACGATAAATTTAGTTAAATAGAAAAAAATAAATAAATTTATGGTTTTTCAAAATTTTTCAAGTCATTCACCAAGCAGTCCTTAACTTTAACAGTGTCTTGTTTTTGCATCTGCAATCAAAAGATAGCTATAACTTCCATGTGGAAAATGCAAATACAAAACTTGTCTCATAGCTTTTATGTCTTCTCCCTCTCTCCTCCCTTTTTTTCTCTTCTATTTATTCTCTTCTATTATATTATAGTTATAAACTTAATGATAATTTTGCAGTTTAAAATCTCAGGGAATCCATCTATTGATATCATCAGTTTTATGAATTTGCACCTACATTTGTTATCTTTGTTATATTGCCGAGAATATATTTTCATCATTTTCTTCCTCCCTGTAGCAAAGAAACAACGATTTTTGTAGCAATAAATAATAAGGCTTTGACAAAACAAATTATTTTAAATTGCCAAGTAATAAACATGCAAGAGTCTATATGATATTTCAATATTGTATTGTAATTATTAATTGGTTGTAGCAATAATCTATATATGTATTTATATATATAGATATATATAAGTATTGTATATGCAATGGTAAATTTTTGTTGTTAAAAACATGTTTTAAATAACTGATTTATAATATTTACATATATCTTATTTTCAAGTCTGATAAATTTGTAATGAGTTTTCATTAGATGGAAGAAGAAACAGAATACATTGTATTAAAAGAAACGAGGTTTAATTCCAAAAAATTTCTTTAGTTTTTTCTATGAGGACATTCGAGCACAATGGTTTCAAATTGTGTCAGATAAAAAAAACTTATCTATGTAATGTAAATGTGTGAAATTGTACAATTTAAATTTGTTTAAAATTGAAATGTGTAGGAAATGTTAATTTTATGAATTTTTTATGACAGTTGTTTTTTAAGTATTGTATTTATAAAAGAAAAAAAATACTTCCATGCAAAATGATTTTGTATTTCTTACATAACTGTACTCTTTCTGCAAATATTTTTCGAGGTCGGACAGGCCATAATTCACATTATTCGAATCCCATTTGTGGAAAACAAGAAAATAAAAGTAGCTTCATCACCATTGCAATTTTTTGGAGTACAAAAAAAAAATATTAAAAGAAAGGATCAATTTGTACAAGTTATGATCCTTGAATTCACAACTTTTGCCAATTTTCTAAGTCTTGTAAATAGAAATTTTTTGGTCACAAAGAATCATTCATGCAAACGTTAACATAGCTGAAAATTTTTGATCTGATATTTAGTAAATAATAATTATGTTAAAGTTTTTGTACTATTATCGATTAGCTCTCACCAATTACGACTATGTAAATACACCGGAAACAGAAAACACCAATGATGTAAGTGCAAACATTTACATGTTCAGCACTCATAGATTAATAAAGTACAAATGATGGCAGTTTCTGATGAAAGATATTTAAAAAAAAACAACTTGTTATAAATTTATATACAATGTTTGAAGTTATTAGAATTGTGCTGTTTAGTTAGTTTGATGTTTATTTCCCCCATCCAATGTAAAGTTGAAATTTTTCTTAAAAGTTGATAATTCTTTGAAACCATTTGTTATGTAGAGGGTAAAATGTGCAGTTAATAAATGATTAACTGCTGGAAAGAATATGTTTTATCCTCATGATAATCTCTGTGATGTATCCTGATAATAAAATGTTAGCATTCCAGGCTGTCTTAAACTTATTTTTTATCAAAGTAAACACCATTACTGGCAACAAAACTATGCTTTAACAGACAATAACTTCTGTTATTCTACTAGCAATAAGATATTGATCATCATGTAATTGTAATCAGAAATCTGAATCCTGTTTTACAAGTTTTTCATAAGAGCATTAATTCAAAGATTTGTATTTGTATGTTTCAATTTGATTTATCATTACAGCTAATTATTAGTTTAAATATTAATTAAATTACATGTTTATTTTCATATAGGTTTCTTATAGCATTTAGATGTAAGGTGTTGAACCTAAACTAACTTTACACCTATATAATAATAATAAATCCATAAATATAAAAAAATGACACTAAAATAAATCAATTTCTAATTAAAATATAAGTTTGTAAATATTATATTAAAATTAATATTTTATTATAACCACATTATGTATCTTATTACAAATTTCTATACTACATGTGAAAAGAACAATAACATTGCTATTGTATATTTGAATATCAGTGACGGAATGGAAGTGCTGTATTGTCAAATAGGAGACAGCATCCACGGTGAAAATATCTGAATGGTGTAAAGCAGTCAGATTATACACATTTACAGATGCACTTGACAGATTATATAAAGCATTTATCAAAATATGTAACAAATTTAAGTTTAGTAATCAATACAAAATGAACTTTATTGATATTGGGCAGTTTCTTTTTCTTGAATAACAATTTTAAAGAAAAAAAACTCATATACAATAATAATAGGAAGTAAAATTATTTCTAGTAGATGTCAAGCATCCTAATTTCCTAAAATTCTATTTTTAACATAACCTAGTTATCTAAGAAACTTCCAAGAACATTTGAATTTAATTTAAATCAAACATTTTCTTCCAAAATGTTTGCCTATATTGGCTGTAATTTGAAAAATTTATAGACATAAATTCTCACTGTCAGCCATTCTTTCTTAATCTCAAGAATGGAGTTAGATAGATGAAAGTCAGAACCAGATATGGAAAGCTTAGGGGCAGGATGCCCCGATTAATTATATACAAACTTCCAGTTTGCACTGGAGATCATGTTGTTTCAATTCAAAACTTTTCCCCTGAAAGGTGTTAGTTAGATGACTGGCACAATTCTATTGCTAGCAGGAAAGTATGAATTACAGTGGTACCTCAGGATACGAAATTAATCCGTTCCGAAACTGAGATCGTATCATGAAAATGTCGTAAGGTGAATCAACTTTTCCCATACGATTACATGTAAAACCAAATAATTCGTTCCAACGCGAAAAACATACTCAAATTAAAGCCAAGTAATACATTAAAAAAATAACTGTAGTAAGAAAAACAAATGAAAAATGCGAACTAATGTAACGTCGTATGGTGAGTTTTTGTTCGTATC